ATGCCAGAGCAAATTCTCTTTTGCTGCCGCAACTTTAATATTAATTTATTCGAAACTTTTATAAAATTCGCTTTTCATAATTAGGCTATTAATAAATTTTAAATTGTTCGGCAAAACTTTTAAGAAAGGGTGAAGCTTACTGCCCGAAAAAACTTAATTGGCGTTTTTTTCATCATTACGAACTTTACCTTAACATTTATTTATTTATTTATTTATTAATTTTAATTAAACGAAACGCTCGATCTAACGATAAATTTGGAATATCGTGTGCAAGCTAGAAAAAACCTAAAAAGAGAGGGGCTATGCGTGTCAAACTGAAATGAAATAAAGGAAATGAGGAATCGTTAGTGGTTAATTCAAAAGAGTAATAATCAATAAACACACGGTTAAAGTGTTAAATAAAAAAGAACGGGAATGAGATTTCACGAAAAGAACAGGTAGCCACCTTAAAATCGGTATATATGTAGCGATCCAAATTTAAATGTTTCTATGTTTTTATTTTGTATAATACGAGGTGTGTTCAGAAAATAACGGGAATTGTTAAATTTCGCGGGATCGGAGGGTCCGGTTGTCAAAAAATTTTCTTTATTATGTTGGTATACATGCCCCCGAAGTATGATAAAAACTTTCGCTGTTTTCATTGTTTACTTTGTCTGTGGCAGCCGCTAAGGTTAGACGTGTTTTATGAGCTCGGCGATTTTTGTTCGTTCGAAAGAAATGGATCAAAGAATTTGTATCCAATTTTGCTTAAAAAATGAAATAAATTCTGTGAAATGTTAACAAAGGCCTATAGTGAGTCTGCTATAAGTAAAACAAGAGTTTACAAGTGGTATAAGAGTTTCCAAGATGGCCGTGAAGACGTGGAAGATGACGAACGCACAAGCACATTAACAACCGATAAAAACATGGAAAAAGTGGAAGAAATGGTTATAAACCATCAGAGAAGTCGCTGATGATGTTGGTATATTGATTGGCTCATCCCATGAAATTTTTTCGAATGTTTTGGGTATGAAACGCATGGCAGCAAAATTTGTTCCAAAATTGTTAAATTTTGAACAAAATTTTTGGCCAAAAACAATATTGCAATGATGCCCCAGCCTCCATATTCGCCAGACATGCCTCTGTCTGACTTTTTCCTATTCCCAAAAATAAAGAGAACCTTAAAGGGCCGTCGTTTTGCAAGCATGGATGACATTAAAAGCGCATCGCTAAATAAATATTTGTTTCAAAAAACAAAAATTCCCGATATTTTCGGAACACACCTCGTACATAGTTTTAGGGGAATATACGTAGTCTATAATGGCATTTGTAATAGTATTTGTAAGTCATTGAAAAATAACTATTTTCAAATGACATATTTTTGTAGGAAACTTAACGCTCTTCAAATACACTGATATTCGGATACGAATATCTTCTAAGTTAAATGACTTACCCTGTATATAGTATACTGAAAAGGTCAAAATTTGATTCGATGAATGTTTTTGCGTTTGGCGGACAGAATTTAGGTAAATAACAGGGCGGGGTGGGGCTTTAATTGCATCAGCCCGCCGTTTATAACACTTTACAAGTACAGAGAATTACCAACATAAATATTGCCTCAAATTATACAGCTCATGTGCGCTCTATCTGTTCAAAAGCTCAAAGCTTATTACTTCAGCCCTGGCTGTCAGCTCTTGGAGTACAATATGTTATTTGTTATTTTCCATACACAACTTTCTATTCAATTATAAACTGAATTAAATTATAATGTACTCGGGATATTTCTCGCAAAAGTTTATTTAATTTTCGCCTTTGGACAGGTTCAACCGCACATATTCACTTACTTTGCACTCTTATTACAGCAATAAAACAAGATGCCCACCTTATTCACCAAATTTACTAACTTAATATAAACCTGAAGCAATTTTATACTTGCTAATAATTTTTTTATTTGGTAACGATTGACGCAGAGGTACGTAGAAACGTCGTATTAATATAAATTAAAGTTAAACGACAGTTACGATTCATAAAAGCGATAAGTTGCTGAAAATTAACAATGGTTGATGGTTCTCGTTATTGGCAAAATAAAAATGTAATGACTCAATAAAGGGATAGTGCAGAGTTATGATCGGAACGTGTGCAACGTCGGTTTTAAATCAAACAAATAGGTGGTAAAATCCTTGCAGCAAAGGATGGTCACGCGAACTCAAATGGAAGAATCAATTAGCAGCTGCTAGCAGCGTTAAACGACATATCCACTCATTTTTGAACTGAACCGATCATGGGATTTTTTTTTGCCACTACAAGGTGCCATATTAAATTCGCACCAAGCACGATCAATTTGACAGTAGGCATGCTTAAATTAAATTGTTTGCATCTGCAGCCAGATATCTACACATTCTCTACTACCGGATTAATATGGCACGACACTCAACTTTCAGAGTCTTTGAAACATAATTACGTTTATTCTCTTTGTGTCAATGCATATTAAACATCACCATGCTTCTACTAAAATTAATTTTATAGAAATACTTACCTTCATCATAAATATATATATCAAAGTATACACACTGTTAGTCTTGTCATCTTTCTGCTTTGCTTAATTATTTAGCTTACTACTGCATTTTTAATTTGACATTCTCAAAATATTAATTGAAAGTAAAATTTAAGTTTGTGTCAACAAAATGTTTATTGTTTTAATATCAAAAGGCATAGCATTTCCAAAACTTTTGATTTAACAAATTCATTTCTCTCAGTGTAATCATTAAAGGCATTAAAAAAATTCAATTATGTCTGAAATATGATATAAAACCAAATGGTCTTGTTGTGTAAAGTTAGGCCATAAAGCTAAAAAAAGCAAAATCGGGACCCTAATTTAATTTCGGCCCTAGACAATAAAAAATCGCCGCTGAGTACGTATGAACTAAAAGTAAGTGAAGGCATGCCTGAAAATTTTACAGTGCCATAAATTTTACAACTATATAATTGTTGTTTCAGCACAACAATGTTATTTATTGTAAAAGATAAATCCACGTTTCGTCTAAGAAATGATATTCTACCAAATATGGCACCGACAAAACACTACACAACAACAAGAAAAAAATGGTTAAAATACAAAGAAATTTATTACAAACTTACTACATATATGCCATGTTAAATATACATACAATTTTTTATTAATTTTCATAATAGTTCATAATAAATAAATTTAATATTTGAAAAGATTATATGAACGATAGAGCGTTAAAAAAATTGTGTTCAGTGCCCATAAAACACTATCTTCTCTTTTACTGTAAAAAACTGCTTATATATCGATTGTTAGGGACTTTTTTCTTTTAGATAACTTGGTCAAATATGCCAGAATGATAAAGAAAGTGCTTTATGTGCATAAAAATAAAACTTTTAAATAAAAATAAACAAATTTTTAACATGACCGTCGCATATTTTTTTTTTTCTTATGATTTCACACATTTTTATGTGCTCAAAATTAAAAGTATCCCCATGTTGTGAATTTTAGGTTATAGTTCCACCGGTAAACAACTGACAAGAAAAATCATAGCGAGCAATTTATAACTATTTATGTTGCTATTTTATCACTATAGACGGTCATGTTATTAAAAAAAATACGAAGAACTTGCCTTTTCTATATCAAAATAAACGACAGGAACTGTAAATATATCGCTAACTGAACTGCACAATTAACTGTGACCATTTGCAATAATAAAATATTTTTTCTACTCCCACCTTTAAAACGCCCTTTATCGTACATGTTTCCATGACACTAAGTGACCTTTTAAATACACATTGACAAGTTTTAGTCACGGGTTTTAAGTTAGTTGACAGTTGTCAAATGTCATACAATCGTTAAAATAAAGTGCCTTTCTTGTAAAATAATACTAAATGTGAAAATTATTTTATTATCTCAATACAAAAATACAAAAGTATTAAATCAGTTCTCAACGCCAATATTTGAAAAGTTTATATGAACATTGTACTGACCTTTTAATTTCGCCGGCAGTAAACTATAATTTAAATTCGGGCACGGACTCCAATGTAAAGTGCTCAAAACACATTTTCTTTACTTTCACTGTGAAAAACTGTCAATTTTCAAGAAATACATTTCGAATTATAACCTTTATAATCTGTGTTTATAAAATATATAAATTTGACATTTGACGGCGACACACAGATTCCCCTATTGTTTCATAGATGGCGCTCTATACAAATTTTTGATTTAAATCATTTTAAGATACTAATAAGTATTTGTTGTAGAAGAAGTATAGTATGCACCTCGTTTATAAATTTTTCTATACACTCATTAATTTAAGCACTCGCTCGCAAGCTCGCTCGTGCCGAAATTAAATTCGTGTATAAAATGGCGTTTATTAAACTTGATACATAATATACTATCTATTAATTAACATATGCATTACCATATAGCGGCAAAAAGTCCTTCTACGGTCATATGAAGAAAACAAGGTTCAGTTATTATTTTTAGCCTAAACGTTACCAATAATGGCTATTTCAGACAATTTTATAACACAAAAAACCCAACCTTTGTTCAACATCATTTTCTTTGGCTACTTAAAAGTTGAATTAAATTTTTAGAAGATCGCAAATTTTGGATTTTGCTCGAGGGACATACTACGGTCATGTGAAACAGGAGTTTTAAACCCAAAATTAAAAAATAAATTCATAGGATATTAAACTGTTGGTATTATAAATCGATAAAAAATTTGCCTGTCTAGTAAAATGTAAAAAAAAGATGGTGGCTAATAAAAAAATTTACTGAAAACCACCCTTATACAAATATACAACCTGACGATTTTGTAACTATTTAGTGACAAATAAATTTCTATCTATCTATCTATTTAATTTAAATCATTTCTTAGATAATATTAAGTATTTGTCGTGCCTAAATTAAATTCGTGACTAAAATGGCGTTTATGAAACTTGGGACATAATATACCATTAATTTGATTATAGTTGACGAAACTGATGTATGTATTTGTTTGTTTCAGAAATTGCAAACGATCGGCGAAGATTTCTGCGGCCTGGATGTAAACACGCCCTTGGGCGGCGAGCAGCCAGTTTCTGCCGTGCCTGTCTTGCTTTTCAACACACGCCTCACGGCGGTGGTGGCCACTTCGACTGGGGATTTCACGGTGGTTTTCATAGGCACGTCCACCGGCCACTTGAAAAAGGTTAGTAATGATAATATCAAATTTCAACGGAATCCTACGTGCCAAAAATGCCACCCCAATGACGACGACCCTCGAACGAGATAAGACCGACGTCGCGGCGCGTCGTCTTAATTAGCTTGCGCCATATCAAAAAGAAATGCGTAGATGCACTATCTAATTTCATTAAATGTAGCAAGTTACTCCTCCTGTATTTAGTCTTCTTGGCACAGCCACTCATTTCTTACGCCATAGAAACACACCGATACATTTAAAAAAGGATATTTGTTTCAAAAAGAAATGCGTCTAATTTCATTAAATGTAAGTTACTCCTCCTGTTTTTAGTCTTCTTGGCACAGCCACTCATTTCTTACGCCATAGAAACACACCGATACATTTAAAAAAGGATATTTGTTTCAAAAAGAAATGCGTCTAATTTCATTAAATGTACGTTAGTACCTAGCAAGTTACTCCTCCTGTTTTTAGTCTTCTTGGCACAGCCACTCATTTCTTACGCCATAGAAACACACCGATACATTTAAAAAAGGATATTTGTTTCAAAAAGAAATGCGTCTAATTTCATTAAATTAAACACCGATACATTTAAAAAAGGATATTTGTTTCAAAAAGAAATGCGTCTAATTTCATTAAATGTACGTTAGTACCTAGCAAGTTACTCCTCCTGTTTTTAGTCTTCTTGGCACAGCCACTCATTTCTTACGCCATAGAAACACACCGATACATTTAAAAAAGGATATTTCTTTCAAAAAGAAATGCGTCTAATTTCATTAAATGTACGTTGTTACCTAGCTAGTTACTCCTCCTGTTTTTAGTCTTCTTGACACAGCCACTGATTTCTTACGCCATAGAAACACACCGATACATTTAAAAAAGGATATTTCTTTCAAAAAGAAATGCGTCTAATTTCATTAAATGTACGTTGTTACCTAGCTAGTTACTCCTCCTGTTTTTAGTCTTCTTGACACAGCCACTGATTTCTTACGCCATAGAAACACACCGATACATTTAAAAAAGGATATTTGTTTCAAAAAGAAATGCGTCTAATTTCATTAAATGTACGTTAGTACCTAGCAAGTTACTCCTCCTGTTTTTAGTCTTCTTGGCACAGCCACTCATTTCTTACGCCATAGAAACACACTGATACATTTAAAAAAGGATATTTGTTTCAAAAAGAAATGCGTCTAATTTCATTAAATGTACGTTAGTTTCTAGCAAGTTACTCCTCCTGTTTTTAGTCTTCTTGGCACAGCCACTCATTTCTTACGCCATAGAAACACACCGATACATTTAAAAAAGGATATTTCTTTCAAAAAGAAATGCGTCTAATTTCATTAAATGTACGTTGTTACCTAGCAAGTTACTCCTCCTGTTTTTAGTCTTCTTGGCACAGCCACTCATTTCTTACGCCATAGAAACACACCGATACATTTAAAAAAGGATATTTGTTTCAAAAAGAAATGCGTCTAATTTCATTAAATGTACGTTAGTACCTAGCAAGTTACTCCTCCTGTTTTTAGTCTTCTTGGCACAGCCACTCATTTCTTACGCCATAGATACATTTAAAAAAGGATATTTGTTTTCTGTCTCTGCATCGGAATTTGTACGAAGTTTAATTTATTCTGTTTAAAAAGTTGTAGTAACTTTTTTAATGAAAATTTACCTGGATTTTGCTATTAGACCGGATTCACGATGTAAATGCGAAAGAAACGCGTTCGTTCATTAATTTTTAATTACATTCGCCATAGCGAATTCCAATAACGCATCAACGCAAAAACAAATCAAGTGTTCATTTAACCCAACTCATCAATGTAAATGATATACATAGCAAACTTAATTAAATACATTTTAATTTTTAATAAACTTTACTGAACCCGACAATTTCGACAAAGAAATCCCACCACACCGTTTACAACGTATAAACGATTTGTTTTTTCTAATAATACCCACTTAAAACGATTTTTTTAAACCCCAGCAACAAAGTTAAACAACCCTCGCGTTAAATAGCCACAGGCGAATTAAAGGTTTAAAGACCCATGAAAATATAAAGAGAAAAATTTTACTTCAATTATACTGGGTGTCACCTAATAAATCGTCATCCTAAATTTAACCCTATAAAAAAAATTAAACTTTATTCAACACTTTGTTTGATTCTCAAAAGTAATGGTTTTAAGAGCAAACATACAATTTTTTATCTTTAAAACAGTAAAGAGGTTATGTTCTAAATACATACATTTTTCCCCTGGGTCACAGGGGACAATTCCAAAGAAATAAATTATAATATATTTTTGAAATAATAATAAACTTATAGAAAAGTTTTAAAAACATTTTTTTTCGACCTTCCACCTTTTTTGTTTCTGACAGTACGTAGCCAATTTAAAATAATGGCCTCCACCTTTTTAATGGTAATTTTCCTAGTCAATGTATTTTGCCTCAAAGAAGCTGGACAAAATTTTTTGGTAGTTCAACGGAACAATGTTAATATTGACTTTTAATTATTATTTTATTAATATTACTAATAACTAAAACTTTTTACTAATTTATTGCTCGTTAAATTGGACAATCTGGGCCCAGATAAAAAATCGTCAAAAACGGTTTTAAAATTTCTTAAACTTAAATATAGAAAATATATTAAAAATACTTATGTATGTAAGAAAGTTTAGACATAAAACATAGTTTTTGTTTTAACTTAGTTTTGTACTCAAAATTTTTTTACAAATAATAAATTTATGTTCCTTTTTTAAACAAATCCTAGTGTAAATATAACCTTAAGAGGATTATTAACAAGCAAATAAGTATATTTTCAAAATAATTAGGCATTTTTAAATAAGTTTTTCTACTCCCACCTTTAAAACGCCCTTTACCGTACATGTTTCCATGACACTAAGTGACCTTTTAAATACACATTGACAAGTTGTGGCTTTATGGCGCTTTAGTCACGGGCTGAAGTTAGTTTTAAGGTAGTTGACAGTTGTCAAATGTCATACAATCGTTAAAATAAAGTGCCTTTCTTGTAAAATAATACTAAATGTGAAGATTATTTTATTATCTCAATACAAAAGTATTAAATACTTTCTCAACGGCAATATTTGAAAAGTTTATATGAACATTGTATTGACCTTTTAATTTCGCCGGCAGTAAACTATAACTTAAATTCGGGCACGGACTCCACTGTAAAGTGCTCATATAACATTTTCTTTACTTTCACTGTGAAAAACTGTCAATTTTCAAGAAATACATTTCGATTTATAACCTTTATAATCTGTATTTATAAAATATAAAAATTTGACATTTGACGGTGACACACAGATTCACCTATTGTTTCATAGATGGCGCTCTATACAAATTTTTGATTTAAATAATTTTAAGATAATAAAAAGTATTTGTCGTAGAAAAAGTATAGTATGCACCTCGTTTATAAACTTTTCTATACACTCATTAATTTAAGCACTCGCTCGCAAGCTCGCTCGTGCCTAAATTAAATTCGTGTATAAAATGGCCTTTATCAAACTTGATATATAATATACTATTTTTTATGTTGGTAAATTTGTGACCCAGGGGACCATTTTTGTTCTTTTTTCTTTTTTAAGGGCTTTTTAAAAAAAAATCCAACTGCCCACTTTTAGGTGTTAAATAACACCCCTAAATAAACAAAATTTAAAAAAAAACAGGTTTGTAGATTAAGTTTTTGTTTTACTTTTCATGCAAATTATTACCCGCATTTTTTAAAAACACATATTAATCACGGGCACGGCATTCTCCTATTGTGCTGTGTAGAATGGTTTATTGCTTTCTATAGAGACTTTCTGTAGCAAATAGTCACTAATTTTAAGAAATATATATTCGTTAAAACAAGTTTAATTTGCAATTAAAAACATTACTTACGCTAACTGCATCATATTAAAATTGTGTAAAACGTAAAGTGATCTTGCCAAAGGGCAAAAGCTAATAGAGGCAGAAAGAGTCGCTGTTTGACGTAGTAGTTCCATATTTCAAATGAGTTTTATAGTCGTTGACAAAGTTGGACGAGTTATTATGAACACTAAAACATACTTCGGTCCTAACAAGTCCCTACGAATGAAATCACCGTCTATTGCGTTACCTGCTTGCGCTCGCTCAAATCATTTTATGTTGCCATAGCCCGAAAATACATACATTTTGTGAGTAACTAAATCTGTCCCAACAAAGTTACAACTTTACACTCTACGTCAACTTAACGTTACTTAACTCATTAAAAAAAAATGAAATGAAAACGTTTTCCCAGTTTATTTGGCAATATTAAGCAGCATCTTCAATTTTTTTTTAGTTAAGTGCAAAGCAATGTTTACCTAGCAGTGATTGCCTAATAATGTTTGAAGTATAACGCTCTTCGCTTAAATTAAATACTTTAAAAACTTTCAAGACGAATTTGGTGCATATTTTCACTTTAAATAAATAATTAAAGGGAACCAACTCCAGTCTCGGATCCGGCTAAATTAAAAATTATTACTTTTTTAATGGTAATTTATTAAAAAAGTCCAGTACAACGCAATTAGAATTGGCAATAATTAATTTAAAGTTATATTTATTATTTGAACGCGTGATAGATTTATGGCTTGAGAAATGACAGCTTTATTTAAGTTTCAATAGTTAAATTTTATGTTATAGTTTAATTTAAAGGTTGTGTGTTTATTTTGTTGACGAAATTGCCAATATTATACGTGTGCTATCTAACCAATATTTAATTTTATTTCGCCATATAATTTATATTATATTAAAACTCACACCGTGATTTTCTTATTATATGCCCAAGATTCATCAAGCTCTTTTAAAGTATCATAAAAAATTCAATATCTATTAAGTTTCAATGGCGAAATTTACGAGCGCGACCGTAAAAAATCGATGCCGAATGCGCGAAATAAAAATTTATAATTTTTTTTCGATGCCATGCATTATTAAATAGCGCCAGTTTAAAATTTATACCGCCAGGCATAAGTTTTCATATATAAATTCACTGTTACGACCCG